CCTGAGAAGCATGGATGCTCTGTGCTCCTTCTCCCATGTCAAACCCTGTGTGTCTCTGCTGTCTGGCTGTTTATCTGTATCATCTTAAGTATTATTTTTAACAAATAGGTACATTTAAGTGAGGTGTTTCCATGAACTTGGCAAGCCACTTAGCAAAATCATTGACCCCAGTGTGAGGACGGAGGGCATTCTGATGGGACAAGCCCTCAAGCTGTGGAATCTGAGGCCAGCTCCAGGTAGACAGTGTCAGAACTGGTTGGAATTAGAGGACACCCCGCTCATGTCCCCTGCAGGATCCTCTGCAGAACTGCTTGGTATGTGGGGTGGCAGAAGGGTTCCTTGTCAATTGCTGAGTGTAGTAGGGAAAACTGATTCTTTCCTCTATCCTTATAATGCCATTATTTAGTCTTTTGGTCCCCTAGATGTTTATTTACTCAACTGATTCCTTTCAGTATTTATAGAATGTCTATATCTATATAGGGTCTGGAGGTATCCAGAGAAGCCACGGTAAAGGAGCTCCCAGTCTCTTAAGAAAAATAAGATGTTTTGTGAATCTAAATATCGGAAAGAAAAATACATGATATAACAGGACAGCAAAGGAGTCATTGAGGTTAAGAGAAGGGAGAGATGATGTGTGTTGGGTGTGAGGAAAGTGATGGGTTTTTCATGTGAGAATGAGAGGGCCTGGCATATAGCAGGTGCCGAGTACGTACTCATTAGTGAGTAAGTGGATGGAATGAGACGCACTACCCACTGCCATGTCTATGTGAAGCGTGATGTGCTTTTCCATGTAATGGAGACCACAGGGCAATGAGCACCTCAGGAGGAGGTTTTCCTTGGTAGACAGCAAGAGAAATCATTAGAAACCATAACAGGGGGCCAGCAGGTGGTGTGGTGGTTGAGGCGCTGGCCTTGGTTGGCCATGGTTCAACTCCTTAACCTGGTGGCTTGCTTTCTCACTCTCTCTTTCTCTTTCTCTGTCTCTCTGTGGTTAAAATTGAAGAATAATGATAATAAATAAAATGAAAAATAAATCTTTCAAAAAGAAAGAAACCATAACAAAACATCATACAAGGTACAAATACACAAGACAGTAACTGTTTTGTTTGCCTTGTGCTATGGTTTGAATGTGCAACCCCCCATAATTCATGTGCGAAATGGTTGCGATGGGATTAAGAGTGAAAACTCAATCTGACATTGGCATTGAGGGGTGGAGTCTTTGGGAGGTGATTTAGGGTTAAGATCATCGGGGTGGGAGTGCTGGGAGGCGGAGCCTAGTGGGAGGCACCTGGGACATGGGGCAAATCCCTCAGGAACAGACTAATGTCTTTCCCCGGGAAAGACAGAATTCTGCCTAACTAGTTCCTGCCAGAGTGGGTTGTGATAACGCAAGCCTGGCCTGCTCAACTCTTCTCATCGCCCTGGGCCTTCTGCTTTTCTGCCACGAAGTGAAACAACACGTGGCCTTCACCGGAGCTGAGCAGATGCCGGCACCATACTTCTGGACTTTCCACCCACCACAATGGTCAGCCGAATCAGCCTCTTTATAAAGCACCCAATTCAGGTATTCGGCTCCAGCCACACTAATGGACTAAGAGAAGCATTTTCCGTTGCTAGTAAAGAAACTGCAGCCCAAATGTTGCCAAGGGACAAAAGGAGCAGACCAAGACCGGGCCAGGCTTGCCTGGCTCCCTGTTCATGCCTGCTGTCACGGCTTCTTTTCTACTGCTGCCCTAGCGCCTGTGCGGGTCCTGAGAGGATCAAAGCATGGAATGAAGTTTCTAGACAGGACAAAGGAATAAAAGAAATCTTAAAGGAGTGTAGTCAGAGAACACCCAAGAAATGACAACAGGAAGATTCAGAGCAGTGGGTAGCCAGTAAGTATCCAACTGTGGCATTCTGGCTTCTTGCTAAGACCTTGTATCTAGGAGAGGAAGATATCGAATTGGACGCTTGCAACCATGGTATTCACTAAAGAGAACAAGGAGAAGAAGGCTCCTGCTAATATCACTAGCTGCAGGCCACTCACATAGCCATTTGCAGCCTGTCCATATTTTATTGAGATGAGCAATTACATGTCCTGTAATGGCAATGAAGCAATAAAATTTATGTCTTGTCATCTTTAACAAGATTAGACATAACCCTACTCATAAATGTAATACTGAATGGAGATTTTTAAGAACATAAGTATAGTTAAGGATCCTTGAGTTTATCCCTCATAGTTAATTAAAATCCTCCCCAAGAATCGGCAGATGATAGATATAAGGACATCGAACCTTTTAGTTCATGGAAGGGTGAACTAATGATTTTTCCATACCTTGCTCAGCATCAGCTCGGTCTGCAACTCACAGCATCGGTACCATATAGATTTCAGAAGTGCAGCGAAGGGAGTGACTCCGATTCCTGCCGCGATGCACATGCTCACTGGATAGTGAAACACATCTGTCAGGGCAGCTCCAAATGGCCCATCCACTGCCAGCCTGAAATCAGAGTGCAGCCTGTGTGACCTCAGATCGAGCCCTTGCTTGGAAACACAAAGCCATCTCAACCCAATGCTCGCTATTTATTTATTTATTTTTGCTATAGGGTGTGTGTGCTCGCTGGAGAAAGACAGAGACAGTGAGAGGGAAAAGGAGAAGTCACCCCTAGCAGGGAATGGCCATGCCACAATCCCTTCTCCTTTCTCCTCTTGGGATTCCAGCCATGCACACACATGTGCCTGGCATGCTTTTCAAGCTGCTAGGTCCAGGGCTCAAACCACAGGTGGCCATGGGGGAGCCCAGCATCGTAACTATTATGCCACCTGCTACCCGCGTCATCCCCATCCCTGAGTGCTCTTCCGGGGATGTGTTTGCAAATGTGTCTTGAGAGGCTGGCCCTGAGCTTGGGGACACCCTGGATTTAGTGTGAGGCTATCACACCCGCCTTATGCGAGGACAACCCATTAGTAATGGCCCCAGCGCCGTTCACGGAAAAAGCCTTATGGCTCCCACCTCTTGCACATGGCACACTTTTCATAGAAGTGTGTTGTGTTTGGGCTCCCGGCATCCCAAAGGCTGGTGGAACACGCCCTACCAGCAGGAACCAGCCACCATCAGAGAAAAAACCCAAAAACATCCAGGTGGCTTAGAAGGCTTATCTTCCCTTTGCTTAATGTAATTCCCCTGTTTTCATTTATTTGGTCACACACCTTAGCATATTTATATCATTTCAGTCTAATGGAAGCCATTCGTTTGCGATACATATAATTTGGAAATAATTTGTCAGGTATGTGGAACTTCTAAAATCCATTATTTCAGATGATGTTGACTCAAAATTTGATCATTAGGCGAGCGGTGGTATGGATTTTTTTTTTCTTTTTTTGTTTGTTTCATTTTGTTTTGTTTTAGGGGAGTGCTCTTGCCAGAAAGAGAGATGGAGAGAGAGGGAATTTGAGAAATCACTCTCCAGCTGGGACGGCCATGTCACGGTCCCTTCTACTCCATTCTCCTCTTGGAATTTTGGGTATGCGTGCCCACACGCCTGGTGTGTTTTTCAAGCTGCTGGGTCTGAAACTCGAACCTGGATTTGGCTATGGGAGATCCAGCACCTTAACCACCACGCTACCTGCTGGCCCTGCTTTGTCTTTTCTTAACAACTTTCTTTGCAAGAATAAAGCATATTCATTGAACATATGATGGTCCCTAACACATGCATGTATGTTCTCTCTCATCACCAATTCCACACACTAGCTTTTACTTATTTTTTCTTTTGTACCATTTTCCTTTCTATTTTTAATTTTCCTAACATATACAATACCCCTTTCTCTCCCAGGACCTTTGCTGTGACACTTTGGACATGCGGAAATCCTCTGTCCTAATTTCTCTTCTCTCCTCTTATATGGCTGAGTTACCCTTCCATTCAATCTCCTCCTAATTAGTATTTACTTAGGGAAGTCGTCCGGACTCCTTAGACTCCTTATGTCTCCTCCTATATAACTGAGAGCACCAGGTACCCTCCCTTGTAGTCCTCACTGCAGTTGGAACATTTGTTTTTTCTTGTGTGTGATGATTTGGGTCCTGTCTGTCTTGGTCTCTAGACTGCTAGGTCCGCAGGAGCCAGGCCTGCCTCTACACCCATGGTAGCCTGGTGCCTCTCCGGCACTCCACCAGGAAGCTGTTCAGTAACAATTTGTGGAATGAATTTTATAGGGAAGGTTTAAAATATTTCAGTCAGCAGGCTGTATTAAATAACCTCAACTGTTCCAAAAGCACACATTTACATAGGAACAAAGATATGCTAATTAAAAGGGTTCTAAGTTATTCAGAACCATTCCCTAAGGGTGTCTGCTGAAGGCACTCCACGAGGTTGGCCCATTTGGGTTTTGCTCTGTGTTCATGAAAGTTCAATTGGATTTATTTTTAAATATTCCATATGCCAGACTTTCTAATAATTCAAACGAATGCTCCTCAAGTTAATCTTAATTAATAAGGCTTTATTACATATTGATATATGGAAATGGAAGAATAAAAATAAAAGGCCATTAACCAGGAAGGGTTAGTATGTTAGCCCAGTGAAGATTATTTTATAAATAATTAGATAAAAAAAAATTGAGAGAAAGAAAAAATTGTCAGTGGATTAAAATGTCTTATTGTTAATTGTTTTTATAATTAGTCATATTAGGAATTTATTTGATACTGATTTAAAAAGATATCAACTAAATCCAAAGAAGAATTGTGTTACATAATCCATAGAAATATATAATACATTTCTACATAATTAGAATTGAGAATCCAAATTCGACGTGACAGGAGAAAATATTCCAACTTCCCTGCCAATGCAGTGGCCCTTCCTTCTCTCTGATAACTGGTCATATTCTGACATCAAACTGCAGGCCACCTTGTCCTCTTTAGGCTTGGTTCAATTACTGGACAATTTTTTCACCTGTCTTACTGAAATCTGCCTCTGACAACTCTGGCCTTTTGCCTTCCTGAGAAGCATATTCCAGGTCTTTTTCCTTTCCTGCATGTCAGGCCTTTAAATAGTTGCTTGTAGCTATCAGGACACCCCAATTGTTTTTTGGAGGGGTCAAAATTTCTCCATTTCTAAAGACTTCACACAATCTTCATTGACTTCGTTGGCACAAAATCCTTCTTTTATAGTGATAGAGAAAACTGCATGAGAGCATGTGAACGAGGGAGAGACCCTTGACAGGGTCATGTCATGTTGCAGTCCCCTTCCCCCAGTGCTCCAGCTCCTCAGGATCTCAGGGGCCTACACGGATAGCTGGTGTGTTTCCGGGTTGACCATAGGACTGCATGAGAGCATGTGAATGAGGGAGAGACCCTTGATAGGGTCATGTCATGTTGCAGCTCCTCAGGATCTACATGGATAGCTGGTGTGTTTCCGGGTTGACCATAGGGGTCTGAACCCAGGTTGCTGCGTGGCTTCCAGCCTTGAGGACCTAGTGCTGGCACTGTGACACAGGGGCTGCCCCTTGCCCAAGTTCTTTATCAAGTTTACTCTGCTATTTCCCCCTCAATTCTGACACGGAGTTTGTAGTAATGCAGCTTAGAAAATGGCTCATCTTTCCAGCCTCTGTATCCAGGGCTCCTTGCAGTCAGTGGTCAGCTGTCCCTCCCTTCTCTAACCCCGTTAACCTTCAGTCTCATCCTCTGAACTGGTGACTGTTGACTCGTCTGATCATCACTTTGCTGTCATCTCTGAGGTGGGCAACCTTTCTTATTTTTCTAATAATCATTGAAGCTTATTTCTTTTGAATACTTACTACACATTTCGCTAAGACTTTATATGGGTTGTAACTTATATTCTTAAACCCAGTGTTAGGTTCTGTCATTGTCGTCTTCATTTCCAGATGAAGAAAACTCAGGCTCAGTGTTACAAACATTCTCTGTGGTCCTATACCAGGTTGGGCTTTGGACCCACTGTATGTAACACTGAGGCCCTGCCTCTGGGCAGCAGGAAAAGTGGCTTGAAAAACTGTAGTAGGATCAACTCAGAAATTCCCCCTGTTAACATCAGAAGGTACAGTCTTTTAAACAATCCGAAGTCTCTCCCTTTGGTTGGGCTCTGAGGACAGCCTTTCCTTGCTTGCTCTTTGGCCTGGCCTCCTCCCTCCCTCTTGCCTCACAGATTCCTGGGACTGAATTAAATCTTTTCTCAGTCTGAAGCAAGAATATATGGTGCGTTCTCCAATGTGGATAATTTAATTCTAAATTAAAACAATGTTGAAGTATAAAATTGTCCAAGAAGTCCAATAAAATTTTGACTCTTCATATATCCAAGATTTAAACAAATTCTAGATTTTGGGGAGCCTCTACTGCTAATAAATATGCCTGCCCACCCGGAAAGGCAGAGGGCAAACCAACTGAACAATTAAGCAGAGGATGCACTGTTTCTGACAATCATTTTCATTCATTGAATGCCTACTTGCTGAGTGCCTGCTAAGGCTGGGCCTCTTGTCTGCACTGGGAATGCTAAAACGAAGCAGACAAAGTGCCTTTCACATGGAGCTTACATTTGTGTGTGGGAGATAGCACACTGACAAACAAGTGCATATTTAGCGTGCTGGGTGGTGAATAGTAGTGCAGATAAAGCCAGGCACAGCTTTATCTACTGAGCAATGGCTGGGGTTTTTTCATGTGCGGTGAAAGGAAAGGCCTCACTAGGAGATGTTTGAGCTGAGACCTGAGGAGGAGAGGGCGGACCAAGTACAAATCTGGGGAGCAGCCTTCCAGGTGGAGGGAACAGCAATGACAAAACACGGAGGAGAGCCTGCACGGTGTGTGCGGAAGCAGGGCTGAAGGGCCGAGTAGATGAGGAAGCCGGGCCCTAACTATGGGCTCTGTTTGCTTTCGGGTAGTCTTGTAGTAGGAATGGGAATCAACACTAAGCCATTGTTTACAGAAAAGACCCAAGGGGCGGTAATTTACCTCCAGACTTCTGTCACGAACCCAGGCTTCCCTGGGCAGGTGTGTGGATTGCACTGCGCCCCCTGCTGGCTGTGCTTAAGCCCTAACTTCCAGCACTTCAGCACTTGACGTTATTCGGAAATAGGGTTGCAGATAGAAGGAATCAATTTAAGATGACATCATACAGGAGTAGCGTGGGCCCCTAAATCCGGCACGACTAATGTCCATATACGAAGAGGACCCAGAAGCAAGCATCCTTTTTTATGAAGACCAAAGTTTACAATATTTACCAATATATTCTAAAAAATTAGACTTTGAGAGAGAAAAGTTCAGAGAGTTGTCTTATTCATTACCAACTGCATAGAATTAGCCAAGTAAAAGCTTCTTCCTTGATCCTCACCTACCTTTGGGAAAAAAAAATATATATATATTTATGGAAAACATACTTGCTTCTCCTGGAAGTTCACTAAATTATACTTTTATTAAAATGATTTCTTTTTAGAAAGATTTTTTGCTATAGGGCACTTAAACTTCCTTGAGAGACAGAGACAGAGAGACAGAAAATGAGAAATCAGCCCCCTGATGGGATGTGGTCATGCTGCAATCCTTTCTCCGCCAGTCTCCTCTAAGGGATCTTGGGCACGCACACACATGCACCCGGCATGAGTTTTAAGTCGCCGGGTCTGGGACTCAAACCGCGGTTGACTGTGCAACAGTCCAGCAATGTAACCATTATGCCACCTGCTGATCCCATATACTTTTTAGAAAATGATAGAACATAAGTGCATGCACATGAGAGGGAGGGAGAGAGAGGGAGAGGAAGAGAGAGAGAGACAGAGAGAGGCACCCTCCACTGGGTCTGGTCACACCACGATCTTCCTCACCTGGTTTTTTCAGCCCATGATATCCTGGGCACCTGTGCATGTGCCCAGCAGTATCAGGCTGACGAGGCTAACGATCCAAACAGTGGCCACCATGTGGGATCCAGCTTCTCTTGACTAGCACATTACCTTTGTGCCAAGGAGCTGGCCCCTAAATTATACCTTTTACGTAGATTCTCAAATGTAAACAACAAACTCCATTTACAATCTACGATGAAGATATTGCTGACTTTGGTAGAATGTTGATGCATTCAAATACCAGGTTTCATAATGTTGTGTCTTATACATACAAAGGAAATAGGTTCTCACCTTGGTAGGCTCCAGGGCTCCCGGAGGGCCTGTCCCTCCGCCCTGAAGGCCTTAAATAAGGCTGCTGTCCAGTCTCCTGCTTCCCGGATGTGCACACTGAAAAAATCCTCCTGCGGTGCGGAGGTCAGGGTGAAGGGGTGCCATTGCAGCGAGGAGATGGACGGGCACTGGATGAAGATGTACTGCCCAGGCGCCATTTTGAAGTCACGCTTTTTCATGTGAAGTTCTAGGACTCCGGAGGGATGGCTTACCACCTGAATTAGAACAGGAGAATTGTCTTTTTTATTCCACTTAAATCATAAGAAAATGTCCTCATTCCATCAAAGGTTTTCAAAATTTTAAATCAGCTCTTTTGAGGCATAATTTGCATATACTGTTTACTATGAGCTTCCAATGATACTTGCCGCCACTTTCATGTCTGGGTTTGCAACTTGAGAAAGAATGAAGCTCATCTCCTACCAAGCACTGGGTTTGAAATGTGGGTAGCTGCACCCAGGTGCAGTGAGGTACCCGGTACGTGATTCTACACCTCAAGTGGCCAGGCTTTTCCATAGCTCAGCAGGCCGCTCCAAGAGAACAGAGCGTGGCACTTAACGATGCTTAGAGCAATTAAAATAGTCACCCCAGCACGTCCACACTGTTAATCTAGGAACAGCCTGTTGCCTTTTAAAATTATCTACATCTCGGCTCCGTCCCTTGGGAATTAACCCCTTTAGTTCTTAATGTTAAGTGAACAATCTTCAAATGCACTCTAAGTGTTTTGGGTGTTCGTTTGGTTTTCTTCTGGTTTCATTAAGTCTCAGCCAGTGTCTTGACTGGGCCCTGCTTCAGGTGCAGGCGGGCCTTCTGCATGGACTCGTTGCTTTCATATGGACACTATACCTTGCTGTTTATCAAAGGGAAAGAACTCATTTCTCTTCTTAGACTTTCATCTTGTTTTCTGAAAAGTCTTTCCCGGTCCCCCTGTCTTCTTTTGGTAGCAAGTGGTGTATAAGGGAGCGAACTTTAGAACTGAGACACTGGCAGTCTTTATCCATTCAAAAATAGAATCCCTCCGCATTTTCATCATTAGTTCAAAGTCTCTCCTCTTCCTCCTGATATTTGTTCTGATACTGCAGTTAAATGGTCTCCCTAGTAACAGCTCTAGAAGGTTTCTGAAGTTTTACAGTCTGGCTTTTGATAGAGCCTGACAGCTTCTGGTGCTTAACTTAAACACAGCACCACAGAAACAGCTTAATGCAGAAATATGAAGCGATTTCTGTATACCTGCTTTCATAGAGCAGTTAAGGAGATAGTACGTTCTGGTAGAATTACATTAGCAAAGTGGAACAGGTTTTGTTTACAGAGACTCTCTCCTTGGACATTTGTGAAACTGGAGAGAAAGCCGTTGATACCTTTCAGCGTCCTTTTTTGGGTCTCGGTTTATCTGGTTCTGCCTTCCTCTGGCATGAGGCAAAACCTAGACAGCTGTGAGTGTGGATAACAAGCTGGGCAGACCCCACCATGGAGCACCACACTCGTCAGGCAGAGCTTTGGTTATGTCCTTCCTCTCCATTTTGAGTCCACAGGCTCTCTACTGGCCCTGTGCTTGCATTTTTTTTTTCTTGCCAGAGGACATGTGTGGTCACGAGAGAGAGAGAGAGAGAGAGAGAGCGAGAGAGTGAGAGAGAGCATGCAGGAGCGAGCAGCCCTCAGGGGTGCGTGACCACACTGCTCTCTCTTCTCCTCCATTTCTCCATCCCATCAGGAATTTGGGTGTGTACATACACCCGCCTGGTCTGTTTTTCAAGCTGCCTGGATGGGATCTGAACCACAGCCGGCCATGTGAAACCCACCTCCCATTGTATAGCATTTAACCACTGCCCTACAGGGCTGGCCTGACCCTGTGTCCTGTAGCGACCATTTCCCCATCCTCTGCTCAGTAGCTCAGGTGAGAGAGTATATGTTGCTTGAAAATGCTCATATAATGTCTGCGTGTTTGCAAAGTCTGTGGCTTTGTGTGGTGGAGGTGATTTTGACCAATGTAGAGTATCCTCACTGCCCTGCCTTTTCCCCCGGAGAGAAAGTGAAATGAAGACAAATATGGATAATGCCAGTGCTGAGCTGTAAACCGTTATCAGAATTCTGTGTACCAGTCTGGAGCCCTGATCTCTGCCTTCAGTGAAATTAGTCACACTAAAAGATGCTCAGGATACAAGCAATTATTAGAACAGAAGATGAGCCTCTAAATTACAGACAGTTCTGCAATAAAAATGGCAAATTAAAAACTTGGGCTAATAAAAAATTTTCATCTATGCTCAGGCTTTTATTCAGATATAAAGCTACATGCATACCTTGGTAATGACAACTTCTTGTTGAAATCGCCAGAACCTAATTATTCTCTCACATGCATACAAGACCACGGGGCCTAAAACCCACTTCCAAGCCTGCAGAGAGCAGCAGAGACAGAGAGGAAAAGGAAATGAAAACAGAATCCAAATATTTTCAATTTGAACCAAATCAATACATAACACGATGGGGTTTAGATATTTTCCTTTAACTCTGGGCAGGTTATCAACAACAAAGATGTCTCCTTGTATTAAATACTATAACATTCAATTATGCCTTGAAGTCTACAAGCTTATTTCAGAGATTAAACTCTTCTATATTGGTTTTTATGCTTACTTGATCAATGATGCCTTTATGTAATTAGAAATAATTGAATTTGCAAGAAATAAGAAAGCAGATTGATGTTTATGTTACATATGATAGGGTCATAAACGCTCCCAAACTCAGCCAGGGTCAAAGGCTTACAAAGCTACATTACTCAGCCAACACAGGACATGAGAAAGGAAATTTAAAAATTTCAAACAGTAATTTCTTTGCTCTACAATGCATCACTACTAGGGGTCTGTCTGAATCACACACACACACACATCCTGGTATTTCCTGGACAAGTCATGGAATCAGTTTCTTAGAACCCTAAATCTAAAATTACAGACCCAGAACAAAAGTCTCAGTAATTAGGTGGAGACGTGTGGGTGAATCTCCATCCTCAGTACGTCAGGTACTGAGTTAACGTTTTACGAATGCACTCTGCCTTAGGGATGATCAATTTCCCAGCAGGCTATCTGGCACCAGATGCGGTGTATACTAGGAACCTTCCTCCGGTGAACAGGAAGGAATGGGACCTGAATATTCTTGAAGACATATTCGGTCTGACATCAGACAATCCCATGAGGCGCATGGCATCTTTCCTTTATGGAAGAGGAAACTAAAGCTTGGTAAGGTCAAAATAATGATCCCAGCAAGACCGTCTGGGTCATTAAGGTAATGAGCTGTCCAGTCTAGAGGGGAGCTCTCTTGTGTCTGACCAGCCAGCTCTGAGTTCTTTCCAGGAACCAGGGCTACCTCCCTGGAGCACTCACTGTCTGATCATGCTTCGATCTGTCCCACACTAACAATGGGACTGAGGCTCATTTTACAAAACGTTAGAGATTCAGGAGTTCATTGAATTTTAGGACGTTGAGGGTTTTTGAAAATCTAGCCTAGTTCCCCCCACCCCGCCGCCTTTTTTTAAGAGGTTTTTGCCTTAGGGTGTGTGAGCTCGCTGGACAGAGAGAGAGAGAGACAGAGAGAGACAGAGAGAGTGAGAGGGAAAGTGAGAAATCATCCCCCAGGGGGATGGCCATGCTGCAATCCCTTCTCTGTTATCCTCCCGGGATCTTGGGCATGCATGCACATGTGCCTGGTGTGAGTTTCAAGCCACCAGATCCAGGACTCAAACCACGGTCAGCCATGTGGGAGTTCAGCAACATAACTGTGATCATCTGCTGTCCCCTAGCATAATTCTTCTCAAGAAGAAAAAACCTGACATTCTGAGATTGGGTCTGTCTTGTCCAGGGTGACAGAAATAGGTCACGGAGCGCCAGGACTGCAGCACAAGCCTTTCATAGTGTTCCTAAACTTTCTCTGAGGTGTTCTGGGTCTACTACAGCCTCTTCCTCAATGCTGTCTTGGGAGCAGGCAGGGCGTCACATCCCTTTGAACTCAGGTGTTCAGTGACCCCTCTGCCCACTGCTCCCTTAACTGGCTGTCTGGCTTTGCTGCTCTGTTGACAGGTCATCAGCTTGTCAGCATTGTTTTTACCTCTTTGGAGCTATCCTTCCCAATTTCCCTGTCTTTGTCTTATTTATTCTTGGGTCTGTCTGCATGGCACTTCTCACCTACATCACTGTCTCTGCTTCTTTTCCCTGGGTCCCCTTGTTTGCTCGATCAAGGCTGGATTTATGCAGGCAACACAAAGCAATTTGACCTACTTATTTTTTTCTGCCTCAGAGGGGTCCAGGAACATGTTCAGAACAGCAGAGAGAATAAGACCTTTGTCCCTGTGCTGTGAGTGAGTGCAGAGGATGGCTAGAGTAAGGGAAAATGCAAAAGAGGTGGTCGTGAAGGATGGGGTTGCACCAAGGGAACCCCGAGGCTACACTTGAATGAACCAGAAAAGCATTTGGAGAATTGGCTTGCAGAGTTATAAAAATGATAGTGAGAATGCAGTTCTTCTTTTTTTTTGGGGTTGGGGAGTTGTGTAGAGAAGGATTTGCAAAATCACTCATTTAGTCTTCACGCATTTTTACAAATAATCTTCCACACCCATTTTAGAACGTTCGGGATACCATACAGTTCGTTTTGGTGGTGTCACGTCAGCCATGATTTCTCTTTTTTTCATGTTGCTGAAATAAAATGGATTATTATTATTTTTTTCCCCTATGGTTAGTCAGGAAGCAGAATGTAAACTATTTATGCTCAGCTCTATCTCTGCTCTGGAATAGAAATTGCTCCAGGAGGAGTTGTCCATTTTATTGAAACTGTGACACTCCTGGAGCCCCTGGAAGTCATGGAGTGAAGGAGACATATGGCCAAAGACGAGTATTAGGAAACAGTCCAGGCAGTGCTGATTAGGATAGCTAGGAGCAGGTAAAGACAAGGAGGCCGTGGCCCAGACCAGGAGGAGACGTGAGGGGAAGGGAGCTGGGACTGGTGTCGGAAAATCTGAGTTCTAGTCTCAGGTCTGCCATCCCTCATCTTGTTCTTTTAGGCACACCTTGCTTGGGCTTTATTCTGCTAAATTTTTCTGTTTTTATTTTCTTTGTTGTTTCTGCTCTAGGGCAGTATGTGTTTGTAGGAGACAGACACAGAGAGAGGGAAAGTGAGAAAACATCCCCCCAGGGGGGTGGCCACACCTGACCCTTTCTCCTTCATTCTCCTCTTAGGATTTTGGGCATGCACACATACGTGCCTGGCGTGTTCTTCAAGCTGCCAGGTCTGGGACTCAAACCGTGCAGTTGGCCATGTGGGATCCAGCTGCCTTCATCTCCACTTCATCTGCTGGCTCCAAATTGTCCATTTTGTAAAATGGAAAAGAGTTGGAGAAAATTATTATTCAGGTTTCTTCCGCGCAATGTTGGGGTGTGCACTTGTAGATGGCAGGGGAGAGCTGGCAAATGGGCGTTGGAAGAAAAGCCAGAAATTCAGAGCAAATGGGACTGGGGATGCAGAAGACAGTTCATGGCCACAGAACTAAGAGCTTGTTTTTTTTTTTTTTTTTAGTTTTTTTGTTATACGGTACTTGTACTTGTTGGAGAGACAGAGAGACAGAAAGCAAGATATCATTCCCAAGGGGGTTGGCCATACTGTAATTCCTTCTCCTCCATTCACCTCTCGGGATTTGGGGTATGCACACATGTGCCTTTGGCGTGAGCTTTAAGCCACTGGGTCTGGGATTCAAACCATGGTTGATTATGTGGAAGTCCAGCGACATAACCATTTCGCCATTAGCTGGCTCCAGGAGCTCAGGTTTTTGACGTGGCTTTGTGAAAATGCCCTTTGTGACCAAAGGGAAGTCAAAACCCCTTGGACCTCAATTTCCCCGTTTAAATAGCAGGCAGACTTATTTTAGTACCTGAGTTTCTTTAATGTTAAAATACTCCATAAATTCTTAGATCTATTTTTTTTCTTCTTCAAAAATGCTCAGAAAGTCATGTTACAGTGAGTATTTTATGATAGAAATAAAACTGTTGATTTAAAAGCAGCAGTAATGAAACTTGTTTCCTTCACTTTCACTCCTGGCTTTTCATTCCTACCAGAAAATAAGAACATGCTGGCTCTGATTTTACTTTATGTGTGTGTTTATGAATAGCCTCTTTTTCTAGCAATAAGATCTCCTGGGGCAGGACCCACAATGCTGAATACTGTGTCTAGTGCAGCACCAGGCATGTAGCAGCCACTCTAAGGAAGTCCCCGGGATTGACTCCACCTCAGGTAAAGGTTTCCCCTTTACCACGAGCATCATTCCCTAGTAATTAAAAAGAGCCAGCCTTGTTATTATTTGTTGATGTCATAGTTAAATGAAATAAGGTTTTTGGCTAAACAGAATCAGACAGCTTTTTTTTCCTCCCCATAAAACACATGTACTTGCCAGAGAGACAGAGAGAGACAGTGAGAAAAAAAAGTGTCCTCCCACCCTCCAGGGGAGATAGCCATATTGCAATCCCTTCTCCTCCATTCTCCTCTTGGGATTTTGGGCATGCATGTAACACATGTCTGATGTGAGTTTCAGGTCTCTGGGTCCGGGACTCGTACCGTGATTGGCCATATGGGAGTCCAGTACCTCAACTGCCACATCACCCACTGCCCTCCAGGAAGCTTTTGCAACTAGATTGCATGAGCAGTTTTGGAATCTGAACTCTCGCATATGTTGGTGAGTGTGAAACAAAGTGGAGTCATCAGGCAGGTGAGGGAGCTGGGTTTTGCAAGGTATAATTGGTTCCTTTGGTTTGTTCATCTTTTTATGAAGTGAGGTACAAAGCATTCTCTGTCCAAATATCCAGAGTTGTGCACCACTGAAGGTGAGTTGATAAATACTCGATTGATAAAAGCACCATGAAAATGCACCAAGAGAAGCAAAGAGGAAGCAATGTATCTTGCAAAGGCCGGGTAGATGTGGTGCAGTGAAGCGCGGGAACCCTTCCCTGTCCTTGGGATGCCTTTCGGATTCAGTGTCTGTAAGACATCAGAGAGAACACCGTAAGGTTCAGCCAAGCGGTAATTGCCCAGCCCACACACGCTTTGAATCAGGATCCATGAAAAATAATGGGACAGAGTGACACTGTGAGTCTGGGTGTGCAAGGAGGTGTAGCAGGGGAGAGGTAACAGAGAGATGGTGAATTCCCCCCTCTTAATGATAATTAACGTCAGCATATGCTGCTCGGAGCAGGCCCTGGTCTGTATTCATGAGGCGTGGGAGACTATTGATTTTTTTATGGAGACGCTGTAGCTGAAATTTTTAGAGAGGCATTCATGTTCCTCATTAATATGCAGGCGGGAGAGTGGCTACTGAGAGTTGAGTTTAAGACAGAGAAAATATATACTGGCCATTAAAAGAACCACAGTCTAATGGGCACATCTATTCAGCTCTCTCAGTTTTAGACATTCTTTCTAGTAATTTCGCCTTTAAAATCCAGGGCTTAATTTCATATATTTGAGGGTTTTTTTTTTTTTTTTTTTTTTTTTGGCAATCATATGTGTTTTCCATAGGTTGATGATTTAAGAAATCCTCACTATTTGTAAACTATTCCATACTATTGGGTTGTCAGAAAAGTCATGATGTAATTTTTCTGTGTTTTTCTGTGCAAAAATGTGTCATGACTTTTCCAATAACGCTATATTATCTCGCTTTTTATGTTACATATTTTTGGAAACTTGTTTGTTCCAGCTTCATTTATTTTCTTTCATGCATCACCCAGCTGTTCCAAAGGTCTGCACTGTTCTGAGATACCTGAGGAGACCAGGTAAGATTATTTCTATTTCCCTATGTCAGCAACCGTAATGACTGCCACATACTCAGGAAACCTTAATCGTGAGACCTGTGGACTTCATCATCTACTCAAATTAATTCAGTCTCTTCTTGGCTGACACTGTCAATATTCCAGGGTGCTGAATTAGAACAAGAAGTAAAGGCATTGGACACCCCAATTTTTTTTCAGTTCTGAAATTGGAAGGAAGGAAAGATGCAGGCTTATGAAGAGGAAGTAGTTCTCATTTGGTTGTTAGTTCTTGTAAGTTTGGGAAGTGATGACATACAGTCTCAGAATGAGAAAGGCAGTTATTTGGGGGACAGGGAGAGCAGAAAGCGGTGAAGCCCAGGGCAAACTCTCCCTGATAAATCACCACAAATTGTCATGTGTTACGAACTCCCACTGTACCAAAGCTCCATACCGAAAAGTAAGTGGAGGATCACATTTTAAAGCTGAACTTAAAAAAAAAAAAATTATACTTGATTTACCCATTCCATACTTAATAAAGAGTTGGCTTCGTCTAGTGCCAAAATGGGCTGCTCTTTATTATTTTATTTTATTGTTTTTTGGCTACAGGGCGTGTGTGCTTGCCAGAGAGACAGAGAGACAGAAAGTGAAAAATCACCCCCCAGGGGGGTTGGCCACACCGCAATCCCTTCTCCTCCATTCTCCTCTCAGGATTTTGGGCATGCATGCACACGTGCTTGGCGTGAGTTTAAGCCACTGGGTCAGGTCTTGAACTGCGGTCGACTACATGGGAGTTCAGTGACATAGCCATTACGCTAACTGCTGGTCCCATGGGCTGTTCTCTTTTGAAGCATATAAAAAATCCAGTTATCTTACCCATGAGGACAGTTATTTCTTTATTTATTTTAGCAGCCCCCCTACCTCACCCCTACTCCCTTACAAGGGGTGTTGCATTCACTAAAGAGAGTCAGAGACAGTGAGCGGGAAAGTGGGCAATCACTTCCAGGGGAATGGCCAAACACAGCTCCTTCTCCTTCACTCTCCTCTCGAGACCTTGGGCATGCACGTACACGTGCCTGGTGTGATTTTCAAGTGGCCTGGTCAGGGACTGGAACTGTACCCTCTGTCATGTGGTAGTCCAGTGCCTTAACCACCACACCACCTGCTGACCTTGGGGAAAGTAATTTTTAAAAGCTTCTGAATTCATTCTTACCGAGGGTTCCTTGCCAGAAAATTGAGGCGTGGGGCAGTGGGCGGCTGTCTGCCATTCAGCATAGTGGTCTCTGCAGAAGGTGACGTTGTGTAGCAGGAGACTCTCTGGGGTTTGGCCTCGAACGATCTGACTTGTTATTAACAACAATAACAACAACAAGAAAATTACAAAACTGACTTTGGAAAGTCTTGGGATAGCACAGATAAATCCTCACAATGGGTTCTGGAATCACATTGACGCTTCATGAAACTGGGGCTGTCACTCATGACCCTCAGCATCTTTAAAAACAGGCATTTAAGAAGCTTCGAATAACTTTGAAGATCTCAGAAAAGAAGTGCCCCTCTGCGGTATCCTGTGTTAAATTGAAAGTGTCTCTATTAGAGAATTCATAATGAAGGCAAATTGTTTGAACACATCCTTTTGTAGACTGTTGAATTTAATTAGGTTTCATCTCTTCCTGATTGCTGATTTGGGCTAATTGGCTAACTTTGTACTATTTGATTCTTTTGCAGATTTATTTAACTTTTACCCTTTTTGGTTTGTTTCTGAGTGCTTAGAAGTTTCTGAGTGAAGAAGTCAAAAGAAGCGCTCTGAATAACGGTATTCTTTTTCCCTAGTGATCACTAGCAGGCTAGGTAATTGACAGGGTCAAAATAACCCACCACCCAGTGTGTCTTTAAGATGGTGTTGGTAAATTGAGGAGCAAGAGGAAAAGCCAGCCTCGTGAATGGAACTCCGCATGAAGAGTCCTGAAACCCAGCTCTATTGTGTTTGGCACAAATGTGCGGCTGACTGACCTTTGCAGTACCTTGGTGCAAGCTTGTAGGGTTACCCACTGGTGCCCAGGCAGCCAAGTGCAAGACAGTGAGGTCTTGCCCTCTGGGAGTCGCTCAATTCCTTGGTGCTCAGAGACTGAGAAACGTGGTGCTCAGAGACTGAGAAGCTTTAGTATAATGCAGACTCATGTCCTTGGTAGCCTGTGGAGGAGCATGTTCCCTCTCCCATCATAAGACATGGGAGGAGGGGACAGTAATGCCCTTGGAAACAGCTCCAGCTGACACCTTGGCCTTTGTCCCAGTCTGTTTTAAGGAAGTCATCCAAAGTTGATAACATTTCTTTGCCTGAGATGAGCGGGACCATCTGTAAATCTCCGGCATACAAATAATGCCCAGACCTAGGAAGGGGGAATAAAAAATGGAGGCCAGAGGAAAGACCCCGTAGAGTTTAACACCATCTTTCTCAGGCTCCAGGCAGTGTTCTCTGTATCACCTAAAAGAAGCCTCAGATCATTCTACAAATGCCGTATCTTTTTAAATTTTTAAAACTTTCCTTTTAAATGTCTTCATCTATGCTATCCCATAATAGGAAGATTAATAGGCTTTAACACATTTCAATAATCCTACTTTTACCTGGCATTTTGTATAGAATTTGCAAATTACTTTTGCTGTAAACAGTAGCTGTAGAATACTTCAAGCTGAGAAGATTAAATGAGGCCCTTATCCCAAAATAAGCCTTTCAACTAGGTTAAAATGACTAAAAATTTCATCGTCTGAAATGTTATTTGGATATTAAAAAAAATCTCCACTGAAGCACTGCCCATTCAAATCGCCTCGTGGTGGGAATGCTAGACTGACACTCGCGGGGATCCTCACATGGTTCCTGTGAAGAGGGTTTTCAGACTCCTGTAGATCAGAAGAGCCTGACAAACAGTGACCAAGGGTCAGCTCCTGGAGTCAGAGGCAGAATCAGAGGGGCAAAGGTAGGAGTGACTGTCTCTGGGATGGGACACACTGGGAATATACATCATTTGCCCTGCCTACCTCAAACACAAAAAAGGAAGGATGAGAGTCCCTCATTTAGAAGAGACATAACAGGTACTTTTATACTGTATGAGAATAGGAAGCCTTGGGCCAGGCAGCAGCATAGATGTTGACTGAGCTTGTTACTAAGGACTAGCAGAGGGATGGATAGACTTTAGGGTGGGGAGCTGAAGAGGAAGGGGTATCTAGGGTGGGGAGGAAGATTAGAATGGACAATTGGCTTGCTGAGGTGCAGATTTCAAAGAGCTGCTTTGAGGACCACATGGGATCCAAGGTCACTGGACTGAGTGACTTCTCAGGTCACACAGCTTCTGAGGCTGTGTGCTCTTTTACCCAGGGCTGTGTAGAAACAGGGTTCACCTTGGATCAGGGCCTCTACACTCTGAAGTGGTCACAGAAGGAGGGGGCATAGAAGAGGGAATTCTGGGGCCATCTGGGAAGCTGGGAAACCAAGCAGGGCAAGAGTGATCTGTTCTTCAAAGGCTTAAGCATAAAGGGAGTGTGTCCTTGAAACCTCTGAACCTGTTTCTCCTTATGAACTGGGGACAACCATGCCTTGTCTATTCGACAGGGTCAAATTAATTGTGCATACAAATATACTTTGACAATAGTAAAATAGAACAATAAAGGTCTCAAATTTATGAAATAATTAAAAAGGACAAGCTAGTTCAAAGATTGCAATGGGTCAGTTAGTCCAGGACCATTCATTAATATTTAAAGAATATTGCATAGGCAACAATATCAAAAACAGACAAGTGGGACTACATCAATCTAAGAAGCTTCTGCACAGCAAAGGAAACAATAATTAGAGCAAAGAGGCAACCCTCAGAGTGTCAGAAATTATTTGCCAGCTATACTTCAGATAAGAGATTGATATCCAGAATATATAAGGAACTCAGATAACTCATCTGCAAACAAACAAATAACCCAATTATAAAAATGGGCAACTGAGTTGAACAAACAACTTTCTAAGGAAGACATGTGAATGGCTAAAAAGCATATAGAAAATGCTCAATATCTCTTTTCATAAGGGAAATGCAAATCAAAACCACTTTGAGATGTCCCTTAACCTCTGTAGGAATTGCTCTGATTAAGAAAATAAAGAATGACAAGTGCTAGGACCAGCAGATGGTGTAATGGCTATGTCGCTGGACTCCCATATAATTGACTGTAGTTCGAATCCCAGACCTGGTGGCTTAAACTCACACCAGGCACGTGTGCATGCATGCCCAAATCCTGAGAGAAGAATGGAGGAGAAGGGATTGCGGGATGGCCAGTCCCCCCAGGGGTGATTTCTCGCTTTCTGTCTCTCTGTCTTTGTCTTTCTGGTGAACGCACGTGCCCTATAGCAAAAACCTCTCAAAAACAAAACAAAACAAAGGATGACAAGTGCTGGTAAGGCTGTGGTGAAAAGTGAACCCTCCTGCATTGCTGGTGAGAATGTAAATTGGCACAAGCCACTATGGAAAACAATATGGACCTTCCTCAAAAATCTACAAATAAACCTTCTATTTGATCCAATAATCCTACCCCTTGGTATTTGCCCAAAGGACAGGACAGTACTCAGTCAGAAAGATACTTGCACATCCATGTTCACTGTGGCATTATTCACAATTGCTAAAACATGGAATTAACCCAATCTTTCAAGAACAGATGACTGAAAAAAATGTAGTGCATATACACAATGGAATATTAGCCATAAAAAACAAATTCTGTTACTTGATACAAAGTGGATGAACATAGAAGAGTTAATGCTAAGTGAAGCAAGCCAGACTATGAAAGACAAACACTGTATGTCCTTGCTCAATATATACCAAATGTCTGGGTTCTATGACAGAAATGGAAAGACCTGAAGATATAATGGTAGGGAAGACAAGTGTGGATATTAGACACTGTAGAGAGGTGCATTGATAGCATGGCTGTGTGGGAAGGACTTAGGGAGGAAGTACTTGACATAAGAATGTAAAATTCTCGAAAGGGAAAGATGTAATGGTAATATTCTTGATTTGACAGTAATGTAATGCATACTTTTGGAGGATCATATTGTGTGCTATGGAGATGTACAACCATTAAAAAAGAAGTTTAAAAAAAGTAAAAAAAATCATACAAAAATGAAATTAAAGTATAATATTTTTGTGGCACAAAAACTAAAGAATCGAAAACATTATATTTGAGAGCGAACACATGATTTACTGTCAAATACCTCATTCGGTGGCCACCCCAGCTTCCTGAGAAAAGGATTTAACAGTGCCTGGCAGGTTTTGAATGCCAGAACAGCAATTTTATGGGATGTCTGAGCAAAAAGGAGTTCTAGAGGTCAGATGGGGAAATTAAGGCCCAGACATTTTAAAGGGCTTGCCTGTGGCCACGCTGATGACTAGGAGCAGAGCTGGATCTGGATCTGGATCCCAGCCAGACTGACCATCTCTCATATCGATAGCATGGGTGTGTCCCCTCCTGGCACACTGGGTGTCGTAGCTGATGGTTTTGGTTAAGAAGCAGTGAAATTTGGGTGCTCAAAATATATACCCTGGCTAATTCCATATCAATCGGGTTGCAGAAACAGGTCCTGAATGAAACATAGATCTGCTGTCATCTGGCATTCATTAGAATTCTTGATGCTCATACACACGTTAAGACTAGCAGAGTCTTCTTAGAAAAATAAACACAATACTTCAGAACCTTTGTAGCTTTGTTCAGGACTATGGATAAAGGGTTTGCTGTGGCGAATGTGCTTTCCCACACATAGTGTGTGTCCTTCAGTCACTGCATGTCATATTCCCGCATCAAAAGGCTTCTCTAAGGTTATTTTGAGAACCACAGAGATAAAATCTTAACACACTGAGCATAGAATAGACTCACCCTGCTCCGTGGATAGCCAGACTGATAAAGAAGATGATGAAAACATGGTGTGTGTACCAGAACAACTCATAGGAGACCTGTTTGATGAACTCAGTTGAAGATGTCATGATCAAGACCAAAGCCAGAGAGATCACCAGGCCTGTAATACCCGCTATTGTTGTTAGCAACGCGGTGGCTGCATTCTACAAGAAATGAACACCACGATGTCAGTATCCAAGTACATTTTTCCTGTTTAGAATCAATACTAGAGAGTCCAAGCAGGGGGCCATTCCAGCTGTTTCACTCAGGCGCATGCTTGTCTCAACAAGGGTGCAGGTACAACCCAAGCAGTGAGCTCCTGCCCTTCCCTTGCATTTTATGAAGGAAATTTGTTTTGGTGGAATTTCATAAGATGCTTTTTCAGTAACTATTTATTTTAGTTTGGAGAAATCCATTTTCATGTCAAAATTATTATGGTGAACTAAAATGAGGACCTTATATGAAAAGGGCATTTTAAGATAAAATAAATACAAAATAAATCTGAGTTTTATGCTGTAGTTTTAAAAATAAAGATAAAGATTGCCATGCTTAATTGTAATTTAACATTAATAAACATTATTATTATTATTTTTAATTTTTGAGAGGCCGCTTAGGAGCATTCCCAATACAGCAGCTGTACACACCGTTCGCCTGGTAGTTACTCCCCTCTCTTGCTTTTTAATTGGAAAGACCATGACTTGCATTTTTTCATGCCACCTCAGGGGGCCCGGGAATAAGGCTGGGCTAATCCTAGGTGATCAATACAGGTGCAGCTATTCTTATCTGGAGGATATGACCAAAATGCCAGAATGCTGACCTGTGAGTGCAAGAAGCAATGAATAGGCCTTTAGTATATAAATCACAGCGTTTTGTTTTTATCGGGAGTGTCAGATCCTTGCCGAGTCATTAGTATTCATACATTGTGTTACTATCATTGAGACTACCATGAGCTCAATAAATTTGCACTCTATCTTTTGTCAGTAAAACCTCATTAATTTGGTCTAATCTGAGATCTGGAGGTAATTTGGACAGGGACTTCTCCATTGTTTATTTCTTTTTTTTTTTTCTTTTTTCTTTTTTCATGGAGCTAAGAGTGGAAATAAAATTGAAAGAGATATATCAAAAACATTGAAAAGAATTCTTTTCAAGTACACTCAGGCATTTTAGAAATCCACTCACATCTTAGAATGTGCTAATTTCAAATCATTATTCTTTGCTTATTAAAGCAAATGCCCATTTCTTTCTCTTGCAACACATCTATAGGCTGGGTCCTGTTGCAATGTGCCCTCTGAAGCCATCCCATTGCATTTGGAAATGCTCTGTAAGGTACACTCTGTGTTATTGATACTCATCTCGCTTCCAGTACCCCAAATTAGAGGGTTTCCTGAGCGTAATTGGTACCTACATATACAGTAGTATATTGCTGCTACAATTTTGAAATAACTGCTTTGGGAGAAGCTTAATTATCTTGTTCAACTGCTTTAAAAGTCTTTATAATAAATGCTATTTATTATATAGTGCCTTCAAATTGTTGAGATTTATTCTTGGGTGTAGGTAGCAATAAATATTCAGGGACTTAGAGGGGGAAAGCGTTAACCCCAGTAGGTGCCCAGAAGATGTCATAACCCAAATGAACACCAGCAAAGGCATTCCTATGTGCTCAGGGCATCTGTAGTTTTGATTTATAACTGTGAAATTTGTGCTTCTAATTGCTGTCAGCTAAGAAAAGGAAGCCCAACTTGATCAATGGTCTGATATTGAAAATCATCTTAGGGTAATTAGGGGACATGACATGGGAGAATCTTTGCCAAAATAGACTGGATTTTCCTTTATTGGTTTTACATGAGGAAAATTAAGACAGTCATGGAGAAATTCCCATTGTTGGAGGGTACTGTCTTAAAACTTTTCTTGGTCAATATAGATTTTTTAATGCAGCTAGCACCTGGACACATTTTATTTCTTATTCATAATGTTTCTTATGAATTAGCCTTAAAACTGTCACCAGCCATGCAGGACTCATGAAATTAGCCACTTTACCCGGTATCTGATTTGGCAAACAAACTGTTCACATGTGTGCCAAAGGGCGAGGCATGGCAGAAGAGATCCAGAAAACAATTTGCAAATTGAAATGGAAGAATGAAATAATCCCTGGATTGAGATGACACTTCATATCCTTTATGAGTCTAAGAGCAGTGAAATCATATCTCATCAAGAGCTGCTTTGAAAATTTAAAATATTAGGGTTTTAAGTCTATTGTATGTCATGCTTAGATATATATTTGGTATATCTTAATTCAATGGTATATGCTTCTTTTCCTCTTTGCTCATAATCTCTTAGCAACATTAATGGTAGAAAAATTAACTTTTTAAAAAAGGATACAATTGATGTTAATATTTGGCAGAAACGTCTTTGCTCCAGTTTTTTTTTTTTAATTAAAAGCTTTTAAAATGTAGTGTGCCTGATGAAATTAGCATGCAAAAACTCACGGTGTGGGAGGTCCGGACAGGATTGAGGTAGCTCTCATTTGGGGTGCTGCCAAGTTTGGAGAGTGCAGCCAGAAGTCCCTCAGCCTCCTCAGACTGGCTCAAGCAGTAGCGCTCCAGGTTGAACAAATGCGCCACAACGTGGATGGCTGCGGATGAGCAGAGACATCAGACATGCACCGCACGGACGTCTTCCTTTGTAACTACTCAAAAGTACAAGGCCTCTGTGCTCACATTTCTCTGTCCCGGTCTGAGTAATCTCCAAGGAAAAGTTATTTATTTGTGCATCTTTCTTGGTGTTTCGAAAGGAGTCAATCAAATACTTTGGCCGATATCGCACAATTCACTACTTTTTTTTTTTTAATTTTCTTTTTGTTTTTTAAGTTTTGCTATAAGGTGCCTGTGTTCACCAGAGAGAGACAGAGAAAGAAAAAGAGAGAGAGCGAAAGTGAGAAACCATGCCCCAGTGGGCATGGCCACACCACAATTCCTTCTCCATTCTCCTCTCAGGATTTTGGACACACATGTGACACATACCTATCTTGTTTTTCAAGCCCCGGGGTCCAGGATTTGAACTATGCAGTCATTCATCTGAGATCCAGCTGCCTTAGTCTCTATGCTATCTGCTGGCCCGTACCACTTTCATTTTAATTGCAATAAGAGCTAAAGTAAACCTCAATTCCTCGTAAGTTCTTTTTAAATAAATGCTCATTCTGGAAGTGAAGTATCATGATTTCTTAACATAATTATAAATAAGACATAATTAAAAAGAAAGCAAAATAAATTTTATGCACTACAAGTACATATTACAGCTTTTAATATATCATATATAATATGAAGCTATATATGATATATTGTATATATTATGTAGTTATATGTATTATGTATGTGTAACTTATTTCCTTAACTCGGAAAGCATTATTCTAGAATACTGAACATCAAGCACACATGATATATATATGATAGACACTAAGGGAGATATTGTTTTTATTCTCTTTCAGACATTGTATTTTCTATTCTTACATACTTCAGTATACACAGACACACACATATATTTGCATGTGTTATTCCTAGTGGATTGAAATAAGCCAGTATTTATGGAACTAAACATACCATCTGCTTTCTTAAGAACTAAGCAGAGATTTCTAGTTCTGGGAATTGGCGATGTCTAGATTCTAAATGAAGAAAACAAGTTGAGGACCACTGCCTCGTTTGGCCTGAGGATTCTATGTCCTTTGCGATGCTGTTCTTTCCTGTTTTGTGAAATTGGTCAGACAGCCAACAGCTCCATCCTCTAGACAACCACATACCAAAGCTTTTTCTGCAAAATCAAAGCCTGGCTGGGTGATCAGTAGATACCCACCACTGGGATCAGATTCAAGTGGGAAATGAGGATTCTTTACCCAGGATATGTCCTTCTTTGTCCAGTTAATATCCTTTTTTCTACACCATAGTGAGAAACAGCTGGGACTACTACTATTGTACAGTCTATAGTCCATACACGTTGTAGCCACTTGTGGATCCTTCATGGCTGCATATTGTGGGCTGAGCTGCAGAAGAGTGAGGGGAAAGAAACCTCTGGAGATACTGGTATCTTTTTGGTTCCTGTGGTACATGTAGCAGAGTTATGTAGAAATGCCATCTGTTATTTAACCTCTCTTCTCTGTCATCTGAGTTCTATTATTCTCTTTTCTGCCTTGCAAAGTTCTACTCATGCTTTAAGAACCTATTTCAAAAGTTGTTTTCTCTCACACATTCTTCAGTGCCACAGGCACAGACAAAACTTTGAGGATAACATTTCTCAAGTGTTATTGTTAAGAGTTCTCATTTACACCTGCATGCTCCAGTAGACTTGACTTGTGAGACTTATTCAACCTTAAATCTTCAGCATTACGGCCTAGCAGGTGGTATAATGGTTATGTTGCTGGACTCCGACATGACCAACCATGGTTCTAGTCCCTGAACGATGGCTTAAAACTCTCGCCACGCACATGTGCATGTGTGTCCAAAATCCTGAGAGGAGAGTGAAAGAGAAGGGATTGCCCCATGGTCATCCTCCCAGGGAGTGATTTCTTGCCTTTTTGTCTCTACTTGTCTCTCCAGCGAGTGCAAGTGCTCTACAGCAAAAATCTCTCTCTCAAAACAAAACAAAAGCACCTTCAGCACTTTGGCACATGGCTTGGCACCAGTTAGTACTTAATAATTATTTCTAAGTGACAATGAGATTGCAGAAAGGTAGAGGGGGTAAAGAAAGGATCAGGAAATCAATTTATAGCCCCAATGTTGTTGGAGTGGTGTTTTCTCTGCTGATATGTATTTTGTATACATTTTTCTCCAGCTTTTTAAGATGAAAATCAAATCAAATTCACTTTTGGTTGAGGCTCACCTAAGAAAGCAAAGTGCTCTGGTGTCAGCATGTATGGAGTTTGCTGCCCCTTTCTGGTCTCCGTGGGGTTCACACCACCAGGTAATGCATGTCCCCCCTATGGGCTGTGCCAGCATGGAGGTCATGTCTGTGAGGGGCTGCCTTGTTGAGTCTCAACATCCACAAATCTAGAAACGTTTATCTCAGTGCAATCTTTTCTCCTATGCAGTATGTTCAATTGAACACAAACCTTGTCCAGTATTCCTAATTGTTTTCAGATAGTTATTGTGGCCTTTAATAAATAGGTATTTTGGGTCCAGCAGGTGGTATGGTGGTTAAAGTGGCTGGAAATAAGTTACATGTGTAACTATATAAAATATGTATCCTGTATATTATATGTATTATATATGATACATACAAAAACTGTATATGATATATCCTACTTATAGTATATAAAATTTCTTTTGATAGTAATTGTGTCTTATTTCTAATGATATTGTGAGAGCATGATACTTACTTCTCTTTCAGAATGACCATACATTTAAAATTAAATTATGATGAATTAGGTTTACTTTAATTCTTAACACAATTAAAATAAAATTGGTGTGGGCCAGCAGATAGCATAGAAGTTAAGGCGACTGGATCCCAGATGAATGATTGTGTGGTTCGAATCCCGGGCCTGGTGGCTTGAAAATCACACCAGTCAAGTGTGCATGGATGCCCGAGATTCCAAGAAGAGAATGGAGGAGATTGGATGCCCGAGATTCCAAGAAGAGAATAGAGGAGAAGGGACTGTGGCATGGCTATCCCCCCAGGGGTGATTTCTCACTTTCTCTCTGTTTCTCTCCCCTCCAGTAAGCACATGTGCCCTATGGCAAAAACCTTACAAAACAAACAAACAAAGAAGCAAAAAACTCCCAGATATTTCTCATAGCTAATATATAATAAATGTTTACTATAACACCAGATACTGGTCTAAATGCTGTATGCATATCATCTAATTTCATTTTTGGGTATTATTCCCATTTTATAGGCCAGTATTCAACAAGCTAAGAATTTGTAGTTTGTTAGTGGGACTGTGAGATGACACCCTTTGGTGGGACTCCAAGGTCCCATCCTTTGACCATTAAGCTATATTGCTGCTTTGGACTAATAAACAATTGTTGCATTTTACTATTTACTCAGAACAGTGTTTCTCACATGGGCTTAGCTAAAACTCTGAATGGTTTACTCGGTGTCTTTAGTCAAACTGTGTCTAGGGCTTCTGGCTTCTGGCATTTGGGGTCTTCATTGTGGGATGCTGTCAATGCTCCTTGTACCTTCCATCCCTCCACCCTCACTCCTCTGCTCCTGGCTTTCTTTCTCTCTGGCCTAAAACACGGCAGGCAGGGAGCAGAGCTGGGCCCATTTTGCAGAAATAGCAACTGAGCTTCTGACTAAGTTAAGTGACTTGTTCACTATTGCCTATGCCATGTGTGACAGTCAGAGAAAAAATGCAGGATAAAGGATCGTTTTTTTATACTATTTTATATTTTATAGTACTCTTCTTCAGTGTAATGAATTGTTGATCACAATCAGTTTTCTATTAGAGAGATTTCCACTTGAGACTTTGACACAGTTAAGCTGACTTTAAGTATGTTGACTGAATGAGCAACGATATTGAACTATTTATTTATTCTTATTGCCAGGTCTCCCATAACAGCCGAAGAAACTAATGAAGTAGCATAAGAAAGCCTGAGATGCTTTTATAAGCCAGCTCCTAAGGGGATGGATTGCGAACTATTCTCTTCGGTATTTTTCACGTACTTTAAAATTCATGTCTTAAGTGCTTCTTTGCTTTAGCTACCTCCATTTTGTTTTCTTTGCACAAAGTAGAAGATAAAAAGTGGAATATTTTATTTATCTCAGGAATTCTCAAAGAAAAAAGTGCTCATGCACATTTAGTTTGTCTAAACATTGTATTTACCTCTTAGATCTGATCCTAATTTTAGAGCGATCTTGGCTGGAAACAAAAGATATACTAGCTACCAAATCCAGAGCTGGTGAGATTTGATAGATACCAGGGAAGACATTGCTTTTGTTCTGGTTTAGACATTTATTGATTTATTGATTTATTGATTTATTCCATGATGGAGGAAGATGCTATTTTCTATTTTTCCCTTTATACTTTTAGTTTTTTAAAAGTTTATTGATTTATTCCATGATGGAGGAAGATGGAGAGAGACAAGTACCCGCAAAAGGGTCTTGATGCTGTGATCCTACCCTCAGCCTCAGTCAGAATCATGGACATACATACATGTCCCTGACATGCACAGGAAGACCTCAGGATCCGCCCTGGGACCTTCCATATGCTCTCAGCATTCTGAATTGTTGTGTCACTGTGGCACCGTGGTGGTTGACCATTTTACGTTGTTTTTCAAATATTTTTTTTTATGTATACTTACGTTGTCTGTGTTGCATCTTATCAAATATATGATAAAATAGCGATATAACTTGATTTTTTTCCTTCTTAGACATCAATATAATTTCTTTTTTCTTTTTGTTTCCCCCAGAGGTTTTTGCTATATGGCGCGTGCACTCACCAGAAAGACAGAGACATAGAAAGTGAGAAATTACCCCCCCAGGGGGGATGGCCGTGCAGCAATCCCTTCTCCTCCATTCTCCTCTCAGGATCTTGGGCACACATGCACATGCGCCTGGCATGAGTTTAAGCCACCGGGTCCGGGACGCGAACTGTGGTCGACTACATGGGAGTTCAGCGACATAGCCATTACGCTAACTGCT